AACATCTCCGAATAAAATTTTAAATTTGTGAAAACGATATTTTTCCACCTTTTGTATTTAAACTACTTAGAATACATCGATCGGCGTCGAATGACGCACTATCTAACTAAATATTCGCGCACCGAGCACGTCAGTCTAAGAAACTAATTGAGCGTTCGGTGTCACGTACAGAAACTGAACAGAAAAGAAAATTATGGAATATATTATAGAAATGAAATAAACATCTGAAACGAATAAATCATACGAGAGTTGAGTGCTGAATCCGATGATGGACGGAGCAGCTTTTTTCATTACAGCCATGCGTGTTTAAATACCTTCCCTGATCGTCCTGAAAAAGCCAGACGCTTTTAAGTCAGTAATTTTTAAGGAGGTAGTACGCGTATAGATTGATTCTTGATTTATTTGAGACGGCAAGCCATCCACGTAGACAAAGAGAAAAATATTGTATACGACATAGTTGTAGATGTATATCCCGACGATTGCAAGCTCCTCGCGAATGAATCTCTCGACAGGGTATCTCCCATCCACGTCGTCGGTGGATAAAAAACCTGGATACTCGACCCCTACACGGATCGGGAGTTCATTCTTTATAACGCTTGTTCGCGAAACAGTATAAACGAGCGAATCATAGTGCCGCGCGGCTCGGTCGGTTTGCATAAATTATAGAAACGAAGGATCGCCGATACGCGTTTGTATCGAGGCTGTTTCACAAACGTTGCAAGTTATAATTAGTTAGAACGGAATATCTTGAAACGCATGGTACATGTGAAAGAGGGGTTCTCGTGCGTGGCTTGATGAGAGTTTCCAGTACAATCTTTTTTGCTTAAGGGTTTCATTATCGAAAGGATCGATTTAATAATATACGTTCCACGCTTTGTCTTTAAATTATCGGATCGCAGCATAAATAATATTTCAGCAACCTGAGCATGAAGAATTGTTTGAAATAAAGAAATGAAAATAATAATATGATTAATCGATCCGTTTCTTAGAGTATGATGCAAAGATCAAACAATTTTCATGGCTGGCTACTGCATTTAACTGTAATTTTCTGCATACATAATTAATAGCACTTATGAATATAATGATACGTATATAGGTAGTCATACATATAATCTTACACTGGACATTGTTATAGTTAAATAATGAATAAATAATGAATTGCAATTATTCGATTAGAGAATGTGAGAATGAAAGGAAAAAAGGTTATGGAATGGGTGAGAAAGGAAATGAAAATGAAAATGGTTCAATTAATGACATACAACAAGGTTGCATTCTAAAAATAATATTTAAATTAAACAGTAATCAGGGCATATCACCTATTTATTAGATCTATCGCTTACCTCTTACATCCATATTTACTAGGTCTTTTCATATTTCATTTGCATATTATTTGCATACTATTTATAGACATTTTTTTTATGCTTGCTGTGAACAAACAAGGATAGATTGTTTAAACTGATTTTGTAATCTTTCTTGCAAAGGATAAAAATAATAATTTCTGCGATAAAGTAAGACGATCAATAATTTCTTTGAAAACAAATTATTTTAATTACACGTAATTATGCGCCAAATTGGCTTAAAGTCTAAAATGGCACAGATCAGGCAAAGCTATAGTTATTTGAAAACCACTTCAGCAGCATTATTTTTCTATTCATAACAGCACAATGTAGATCCTAAAAATATACTGCTTAATATAGTGAGTAAGGTCATGTAATGTAATGACTTTACTATTAGCTATTAATAACCTTATACCTGAATAAGCTTAAACCTGAAGCAGTGATCGATTACCAAATATTTTGCCCGTCTTAATGCACGCGGTTGCTTCATGAACTCGTTCCGTGGACCAGAAAGTAATTCATTATAATTCCCCAAACCGCACGATCTTTAATGGCCATCGCGTTATGAACTCTTATTTCACGCATTGCCATTCTGGTTTCACGTGGGTACATATATGTGATTTTTTTATATGCGCGATTTATATGCAACCTGCACTTTAAGTCAATTATGATGCTTAAGGTAACAGCCCCGATACATAATCAAGAGAGGTTTCGTGAATGTTAAAACTTACTGGAGTGAAACGTAAAATATGTATACGCGTTCCGAATGTTGGGAACCTTACGGACCGTATTATCTCGTAGTGTGTCAAGAATGATAGCAAATAATATTTATATACTTACATTAGACTAATCATTCATCAAAATTGCAGCAAGACAATTAACAAACTAGTAATTAATACTATACATATGTAAGTATTAATTAGGAAAAACGTATCTCATCCAGTTCTAATTAATGAATCGCTAGCTTGATAATATTATTACCTGTTCTGCAGTGATCTATCAAACAGTTATTGATTATAATTATTTTTTTCATATCCCTCGACGTGATGAAAAAACGTAACGCGGTGCTTCGTTACTGGTTTAATTAAAACGTCCTCGTACATACGAGCTTGTGAAAGAAGAGCCAGTATTTCGTCTCTGGTAACGTCATTTCAGTCACTCCGACGACGCGACGGAGGAATTTCTCCTCCCATTCGTGATATGGAAATAATTCGGCTTAACAGAGGAGAAACGCCGCGTGCGATCCGAACACGATAACAGATTTACCTATCAGTGGTTAATTCAGGAATGATCCAAGTGGCTTTAATCTCCGACGAAACGAACCGTGTCTCGTTATCCACGGTTATACTTGCACACCGCAGAGATGAGTAGGCAAAGAATGAAGAAAAAAGTAAAAGCAGGTATACCAGTTGAAACGTCCGAATCACAGAGCGATGTAATTACCGGCTATTCCAGCGTGCCAGCCGGGGGCTCGGGACGGAAAGGAGTTAATTTGCATCTCGATACAATTACGATTCAACGGCGTAATCTCGTTTTCGTCGATATTACGGGAGCACGTTGGAACTCGCCAAACCTTCATTGTTATAATTGGCACATCTGTTTTCGGTTACGACTACGTCGCTTCGTCCCACGTATCGAATGTTAATTGCTCGAAAAAATTCTTCCCCCCTTCCTGACCATCTGAAATCTTTTTCATTGCCATTTTAAAACGTCGGCAAACGTACGAGATACTTTTTCTTTTCGTTTTAATTGAATTATTCAGGATCGATCGCCTGTCGAAGGATTACGTTCTCACTCCGATGACCGTTTCACGTTATAATTCGCAGAACGATTTTCTTATGAGAACAATAAAAATGGTTAGATGTAGGCTATCTTAAAAATGAATATTAAGTTTTCATTTATTAATAAAATTGTTATGCTTGCAGTTTTTATACTGTCGCAAAAACTTTCCATTCGATTATCCATAATATTTCAGTTCTTACACAGCTCAGTCGTCTGAAATCGTGTAAATAACATAGAAATGTGACTCTTTTTTAGCAATACGTCATTTCACGATTAATTCCATTCGTGATTATGTAACGTTTAACTCACATGATTGACACGCGTTGACGAAAATTTAGCGAAACACGTATAGACTTCTCGGATATCAAGCACGAGTTTTAAAATCAAGCAAATCGATAACTTGTTGTTCTGATTTTTCTCCCATTAATTCTTTTGTCTACAATCATCGAGTTCCCACATATGTTTTGATTTTTTAGCTTGTCAAATTAACTCTTGCAGGTTTTACCTGTTTTGTCAGATTAAATGTGTACATCGACGATTTTGCAAGTTCGTGCTTCGCACGATCCATCATTCTCGATTTGAGGAATGAAGGCGATAAAAGCTGTTACAGTAGAATCTGTTCAGGGACGATGAAAAAATGCGCTTAACACGCTCGTAGTCACGCTCTGCTGTACTCGACATTTTGTACACGCGACGTGACTATTTTGTTGCAAGGATTTTATACAACTATACTTTGCTGAAATTGTTTCGTCCGGCACTTCTGCCTGTCAGAATCTCATGTAACAGGCAGAAGTCACTACATAATGAGACGTTACATATTTAGAAACATGAGTCGAGCGTTGCGTTACAGCTCCAGCTAAATTTCTCATTATTTTCGTCGACAAACGTCACTTACTTCATAATTTCGGTGTGACCTGCATAAAACTGTTTATACCCTCGTAGATTACGTACCATGGTGCACATGCGAAATTCAATTTTTAACTCTGAACACGGTCTCATTCAATACAGTGAACATAATTTTTTCCAACACGTAAAACTGTGCATATATTCTCGATCGTCGATAAATCAAGCACACGCGCTTTTATGGTATCTTAGAGCATATACTACTGGAAGCAGCTTCCATTCGTCGAAAGTGCAGACAAATCCCTAAAAAATCACATGCTGTCATTACATTATCTACATGCTGTCTTCTTTCCATAGCACAAAATTGGCCATGAACTTTCTCCTTCATATCGCTTACTGATAAGCAAGGGGAATGTGTTGTAACTAATACCATGTTGTGAGACGGCATGTGATAGCTAAACGCTAAACATTTCTACCCCGTCTGCACCTGTAACTCTTGAGAAGCTGCCTCCCTCCAATAGTATATGCCCTAAGGTAGGTATTTAGTGCTCCTTTCACTTCTTCACATCTTCAATTTAAACAACTCGAAACACGGAGCGAAGTACACAGACATTTCTAAATCTCGTTTACCCGTAACATTTTGCAATACCATTACGAGTTAGTAGATAAATGAATTTTTATAACATGTGAAAAAACGTTTTCACTCGTCCATCGCAAAAATCGCAACTCAAAGAAGATACATGTTATAATAATATTTTTTTTTTAAACCATGAGTTTCGTAAAGAGTAAGTGATTTACCATTCACGACTCTCACAATCGAAAACAATGTAATCACAATGCGGTCGTCGTTTTCGCAACATCAGATAATTAAAAGCGGAGTTTACGCGTGGGCTGATGCATAACTCACTAGTTCATAGTAAGTAGCCACGACTGGAATCACGGTTATCGCACGCCCACGCGTACCAAATACTCGTCGCGACACAAGAATTCAGTCGACATTGTGATAGTAATTGTAAAATCCTGTTTCTGGTGTTACAGCCAGAAGAGGCAGCAGCAACATCATCAGCATCAGCATCATCATCAATACCGTAACAACCATCAGCAACAACAGCAGCTCCAGCAGCTCCAGCATCAGCAGCAACAGCAGCAACACGCCTCTTGGCACAGGACCACTCTGGCGTCCTGACCATCATGATTCTGACCATAATTACCAGTTGAATAGTTCTGGCGCGAGAGGGAATACAGTTCGGAAGGAGAAACGCTACTTCTTGCGGTCTCCGAGAAAGAATCGCCGAGACCACTCAGAAACTCGGGAGGCATCGTTCCACATGGACGACTAGCCTTGATCATCCACTCTGATCTATTATACTCTTCGGCAAAGATTTCAACTTTGACCATTATTGTTACACAGACTCCCTGGGCTTCATAGAAGATCGCCGCTTCACTCGTCATGATATTTTCTCTATAAACAGAGATTTTTCTCTCTATCTTCCTTCATCCCGTGAGTCCTTTTCTTTTTTCGCGTGTGCAGTCGTTTTCATATAATTTCTGTCGATACCGCGCGGAAAACTGCGACGCTTACCCTTAATTCAGCTGGACCAAGTTCATTCCCAGTACACATGTAATGTGTAAAGTGTCTGTCGCTAAATTATTTGTACAAAACTTCGTACTTCGTAAAAGGTGAGTGACACACGAATCGACAGTCCAATGTGCAAGCGCCGTGACGAGACGAAGTTTCTGATGTCGTATATATTACTCGAGTATCTTTCTATTTCACAATATTTATTAAAAAAAAAATTGTTTATCACAAACCACAACAATTAATTGTATATTAATACAACAAATCATAGAATTCTACGATCAGAATTGAATTGGACTCTGCACGCGATTCGATTTTTATTTAAGTGCAATAGTAGAACTGTGTGTGACTCACTTGTTCCTTTTAAAAGAAGTAGATCGATCCGTTCGTATAGCGAGTAGCTGAAGGTAGTTAACCGCAAAGCGATAGAGCGTTAAGATTTTGATAGAGATATGAGAGAAGAGAACGGTATGTAAATAAAACGCGCGTACATTTTCGCGTTGCGCAAAAGTAAGTGCAATGTATCATAAACGGAGGTAATTTCACAGAATTCCGACGGAACTGTACGATACGTATCTGTAGACGAGACTATACATGAAGATACACGTTGTCTTTGGAGCACAGTGAGATCTTTGTTTCGTTTTGAATAACTTCACGTTCGTTCACATGATACCTCTATCCTCGTTACGATTTCCAAGCAACGAGCACATTGGAAAATTATTTATTCATTGATCTTGCTTATTAAACATTTAAATAATTTAATGATTAACTGGCACCATGATGATTATTTAGTGGCGCGTCATACATGAAAACCATTAATCTATCATAATAGAAGAAAAATGTTTCTAATGAATTATAAAATGGTTCTCGTTGATTGTTTAATTCAAACTGAGTTTTATATTTTGTTTCATTGTTTTCTTTGAATTTACGATTGATTTTTGTATTATTGTTATTCAGTCGTTGTTGCAATTATTTCATACTGAATTATATTGTCGCATATATACGATAAGCGACGAAACGTGCAATAGCTTTTAATTCGATCATTTCATACGAATCGTCACGGCGATCGTGAGTTCTTCTCACGATTCAATAAATACGATACGAGGAAATGTTAGCATGCTGCGTCTCAGCCGAGTTTACATGCAACAAGTGAGACATGCAGATCGCGCCTACATTTATGCAAATTAATGATGAAAATTAATTCACCGCACGTATAATTCCAATTGTTTAAGTCGAGAACGTTGCTAGAGTATCCTGAAGAAAGGATTAGATGCACGTGACGAAGTTTTAACACGATTTATGAGAAGTGTATCATTTCGAAGGTATCGCGCTTGAAAATCAATAAAGCCGGTGCTTTCGTATCGCTAGTCACGAAGAACTTAATATAGATACGTGACCAATTAGGTCACATCCATTTTTTATAGCTACGTCCGCTCAGGCTTAAATCACTTATCGTTAAAAGCGTGAAACATGTTGATTAACGATTTAATAAATTAAGTGAGAGACATATCACAGCAGTCACTAATTTAATTAAACATCTGATAGATATTAACATCTTATCTCAATGTACACATTCCTACTTGTAAACTCGGCTCTGACAATATCATCTAAAGTGTTAAGAGAATATCTATAATTATGACTGCGTATCAAAAGGAAGAAGATAGGAAGAATGTGACTACGCGCGTCTGGAACGACGGAAAACGGGTGCTATTCGATATTTAAACGAAAAGAAAACAATAAATTATTTCGGCGGACGTAAGACACGAAAAAAACGTATGTAAGTAGATCCTTTTAGGTAGAAAAAATATTTTACATAATGTATACACGCATACAAGAGACACGCGAATGTATGTACCGTGTAATAAAATATCCACGATCGAGTGTACTTCTGCAAACACGAAAAGCGACCCTTTAAATAATTCTCGAACACTTATCGATACTTTACGAACTTTAATCTTTTGAAATATACATCTTGCCTTCGAAAACTTTATCCTTTAAACTACGAAAATTCCGTACATTATTAAACAGGATGATTTCTGTACGATTCTCAGGTCTCGAATCAAAACGAATCTGATTACGTGCGTCTACTTTCCTTGAACCGTCACGTATGCATGCTAATAAAATTATTCGAATCCGTTTAAACGGGTTATTACCTCATAACTTTCAAACGGACTGAATTGGAGCACGTTTAACGATTCGTTTAAGTACACGAGAAATTGTTGACGTGAATATTAGTTTCTTAAAACTATCTTTGTGTACGTATGTATACAACTACACGAGAATGTTCACGAATAGCGAGACGACGTATATCGAAAACGGTGACCGTTGTCAAAGAGAATTTGTAGAACACGACTGCTGCAAAAGTGAAATAACGAGAAGACGAGACCGGACATTTGTACGAATGCATGCGAGGTTTCAATAAACGGAATTGTATACTATTGATAGTCGTGTCCAAAATAGATGACGCATTCAATGTTCAATCAATTATATGTTCCCGATTTGCAGTTAACAGGTTGCCGTGTATCATTCTGTTCCGCTAACGATTCGTACTCTCAATGATTTATGGATGAGAAAAGAATGTCTTATATCACGTAAAGTCAAACGAGCACGAAAATAATTCAACCTGTTCTCGTGTTTCTTGCATTCTCTCAACACGTTTATGGCGATTAAACTCGATAAGAGCGTGCAATATTTATCCCCTGGCTGAACCGTCGAAGCGATATGATTTTCATGACGATGGAGAGTAATAGCAATCTCCATTTCATTAAATA